GGAGGGCCTGATCCAGTTGGGGGCTCCTCAGCTATTGGTTCATAGTTCATGTGTTTCCTTTCGTTTGGATATTTGTCTCTGTGCTTGTAAAAAGCCCTTTTGAAGAGGCAGAAGAGACTGTTGGGTTTTGATCTAGGTCTTCCCAAAGCTGTCCTGTGTTTCTATTTTTCTCCTCTCCACTATCTTTCTATCTAAAAGTTTCCTATCCCTCTCTCCCCTCCTCATAGGAACCTTTTTAAAAGGTGGAAGTTGGCCTCCCACATACAATAAACTTCATTAAAATATAGCCAGGGCTGTATTTTTTTTCCTCTAAAGAGTGTAGTTTTGGGTGATTTTGGAATGTCTGTCTGGTCATGGTCTACTCCTGCACAGTACAGTAATATAACTGGCATCTTAGTGCCCACCAGCCACAACTTAATCTTTGCCATGCTAACTCTCAGTATGGGCGGGGAAACAGGTAATTTTTGGGCTCTCAGAAAACCCCAAACAAAACCTGGAAGTGTAGTTGAATGGAAACTATCCAAATTCTTTGCTATGAAGGCTGACTCCCCTATAAGGTATCATTCACTAAGATTCCTGTGCAGTTGGTAATTAATCCATGATTAATTATCACAAGCTACAGTCTGTTTCAAGAAACAAATAAATAAAAATTGCTGGGCATTATAGAGACAACTGTAATCCCAGCACTTAGGAGGCAGATATGGCATGAATGCAGTAAATGTGAAGTCAGTATGGGCTGTGTAACCTGTTTCCATGAGACCCTGTCTCAAGAATAAACAAAGGCTTGGACAGCATACAATGCATTCCATAGTTCTTGGTTCTAAGAGCTGATAAAAGCAATGAAATCAGCAGTCCCAGTAATGTGGATCCTTTTGCTTTTAACAGAAGTGCAAAAAAGGTACATATCTAAGAAGAGATTTACTACACTGCTAACTTGTAAAAACACTATCACTTAAAGCATTACTTAAGCAAGATTTATGATTATTCATTCATTCATTCGTTCATTTTTGGGTGCTGGAGATTGAACTCAGGGCCTTGTTCATATGAGACAAGTATACAAGCATTCTTGTCAATTGAGCCTCTACTCCAGTCTCAAGATTCTATGATTCTTCAAAGTGCTTGGTGGCTTCAAAGCCCATCATAGGATGGGAGGCATTAGTGATATAATTAAGCCACTGGACTGAAGGTTTTCAATGAAAAAGCACAATTGCATTTTATTTACTTTGTAAAATTTGCTAGTGTATTTACTTTAGTTGTGTCATGGATATTATAAAACTGTATCTATGATGAATGCACTTTAAGTATAAAGAATGGACTAAAGAAACAGCAATTTTCACAAACTGTATCATACACAATGTAAATCATATTTTAATTCTACAACCTATCTTCTCTAGTTCACAACTAGAGATTCAGAGGAGCTAAGTCATTTTTAAAAGACAAGTTGAATGAGTCTATAAACCTCATTATGTCTCTTTGGTATTCTGATTTACTTTAGAACATCATGCGACCACATTTTCATGGCTCTTTCTAACATCAAAGGTGTTGTAAAAGATAGGTTCTCTGCTTTGTATTCCTCATATATTTAACACTTTTAGGGAAATACTTTTAGTTTTTATTATAGATTATTTAATTACATTTTAATTAATGTATGTGGGTATGTATGTCACAGCACAGGTGTGAGGTCAGAGAACAACTCGTAG